CACTTTGCCAAGTTTCCTCTATATAGAATTCACCTTTTTCTTAAAAGTTTAAAATTCAGGCTTCAGCCTTTGCACTCAGGAGGGTTTGGCTCCAGCATGAGCTCTGGTACTCTACATAGGTCTAATTTATACAGTGAGTCAAGAAGTAGAATAAATGCTCCCACATAGCCTTTCTTTTCCTTTTCTCTCTGAGGTGTGAGTTGAGTTCTCATTTAGGTTTGTAACATGCTCTTTCCTAGTTGTAAAGTTCTGCATTCATAAGTGCCATTGTTGTAAGGTGGTGTTTCCTAGACTTTCCCTGACGCGGTTTTACCTTTATTGAATTTGTATAAACAATTGTACAAAAAAAGAAATCATTCTTGGGCGTTGAGGTTTTTTTTTTTTTCCCTGAAGAGTGGACTAGAGAGTTAATCAAAGGTGCCGGCAGGTGGCATGATGGTTAAGGGCACTGGACTCCCCCATGGCCGGCCACGGACCTGGCAGCTTGCTTTCTCATTCTCTTTTTCTCTCTCTTTCACTCTCTCGTCAAATTAAAATAAATAAAGTTAAATAAAATAATTCTTTTTTAAAAAAAGGAATAAATTTAATCAGAAAGCCCAGAGTTAGTAGAAACTAATATATACTGTTTTGAGGTCCAACAGTATAATTTTTTGTTTACCTGAAAAATGCAGTAGCCTGAGGTGGTCCTTGATTTTTCAGTTTTCCTCTTCAGAAAGAGATTTTACTATTTCTGCCTAATAAAGGTAATGGGAAAGAACTGTGCTATAGTAATTGCCACGCATAGAAATTAGGTACAGGCATCCTTCAGGGGCACAGCAGCTCACCTGTTGGTTGCCTCTTAATACACCTGTACAGACATTAATATGGCCTTTGGCATTACCATAGCCTAAAAGTTCCAGTTGTGGAAGGTCAGGGAGAAGTGCTGTTGTTTTCCTCAACCAACTTCTAGAGGCACCTTAAGGCACATCCTACACAGGCAGCCTCGGGCTGTGGTGCCTGGTGGCAGCACTTGGTCATGAGGTAACTTCCCTGGGTGGTGGCACAGAAACCCTTGAGAAGCAGTTTCAGATTCAGTTCTTTTTATAAAGACAAACCTCATATTTATGCCCAGAAATGACCACTCTAGTGAGTCAAAAGATGGGGAAGAACCAACTTCCTTCCTTAGTCATCCAGAGCAACTAAGACCTTGGCCCTTGGGACAGGCCTTTTCTGCTCACAGTTGAGTTTTCTATTTGCCACTGCGTGCCCCCCCCCCCCTTTTTTTAACCACCCTGGCAAAAATGGTTTTATTAAAATAGGACAAAGATTCCCATGTAATCAATGTCTATTAATTAAATTCAAAGTGTGGTTTTTTTTGTTTTTTTTTTTTTTGAGAGAAATTAAATTCAAAGTGTGGTTTTTTTTTTTTTTTTTTGAGAGAGAGGGAGAGAGAGATTTTTGCTATAGGGCGCATGCACTTGTCAGAGAGACAAACAGAAAGCAAGAAATCACCCCTCCAAAGGGGATGGCCATGCCACAATCCCTTCTCCTCTCGGGATCTTGGGCACACTCACACGTGTGCCTGGCATGAGGTTTTTCAGTTGTGTGTGTGTGTGTGTGTGTGTGTATGTGTGTAAGGCGCTACACACTCCCATAGGCCAACTATGGTTCAAGTCCTGGACCTTGTGGCTTGCTTTCTCACTTTCTCTCTCTCTCTCTGTGTGTGTGTGTATGTGTGTGTCTGGTCAAAATTTTAAAAACAAAGAATGAGTAAATTAAAAATAATTCTTTAGAAAAAAGATTTTTGTAACAGGGCATGTGTTCTCACTGGAGAGACAGATAGAAAGTGAGAAATCGTCCCCCCAGGGGGGATGGCCATGCCGCAATTCCTTCTTCTCTCCTCTCAGGAATTTGGGCACACATGCACACGTTCCTGGCATGAGTTTTAAGCCAACAGGTCCAGGACTCGAACCACAGTTGACTATGTGGGAGACTAGTGATGTATCCATTATGCCATCTGCTGGTCTCCAAAGACCATTTTTGACACAAACTGGAGGCATTTGAAGCACTGCACTCCAGAAATTAACTCCAGGGGATCCACTTAACAGAATTAAGATAAGTTCGCACTCTATGGTTTATGAAAATGTGGCTTACCTGTGCTTAGCTACTTGTTCATTGTACCACACCCCCAGGAGAGGTTAAGTCTTGCTTTCTAGCAGCCTGAGTTCTCTGAACCTCCAAATCAGATAGTTACACTGTTGTCTGGTGAAATCATCCTCTGCCTTTGAGAACAGCTTTCTGGGTTATTGTGGTTTCCAGGTGAATAGTCCTTGTAGTCGGTTATTAGTAGCCGGCACTGTGACTCACAGCTGAAGCTGGGACTGGTTAAGGTAAGTAGGCCTCGGGGTTTATTAACGTTTATCCTCCAAGGTTTCCTGGGAACACACGTCTGCTGAGGGGCCACCAAAGTTGGGGACACATCACACAGCAAAGATGCAGCCCACCGCCAAACTCCAGAGCTCACGGCAGTCCAGTTCTGTACTCCCAGGAGTATGGAACAACCCAGTAAGAATATACCCAGTACAGTCCACAGTCCCTATATAAATGGTTTATTTTACAAATGAGCTTTGATGAGGCCAGCCTTGGCTAAATGCTACAGCCAGCTGCTCCAAGTGTGCACACCATGTGTGATGAGTGAAAGGACCATAAGCCTGAAGGGTGTTCCTGCTGTGTTAAATCCCAGCTTCTTAACTAAGAGGAGATGGTCTGTCCCTTCCTGTCAGAATCTTATGTTTGTCAGGGAAGGAGATATATCAAGGTGCCTAGAATGACATCTTTTCATATTGTGAGAACTTCTCTGTAGTGATTGGATCTATTCAAAAAATTAACTCAAAGACCTGGCACAGCCATTAGAAAAATGCGGATTCCAGGAAGCAGTGTTTGCCCTCTGCCCACAAAGTTATTACAGTGTAATCAGTATTTGAGTGTCAAGACTGACACATTTCTGTTGTCTAGTTACACATCCACCATGAGTTTTGGTACTCTTGCATTAAAGAAGCACCTAAGATTTACATTTAAAAGAAAATATTGGGGGAAAAAAAAAGGAAATATTGGGGTCAGCAGGTGGCGTGGTTACGGGCACTGGACTCTCACATGACCAAATGTGGTTCGAGTCTCAGACCTGGCAGCTTGCTTTCTCAGTTTCCCTCTCTCTCACACTCTGCCCTTCTCTGGTCAAATTAAAATAAAGTTAAATGAAATATTTTTTTTTAAAAAAAGGAAATATTAAGCTACTTAAATGGAGACTTCACAAGTCTAAATTTTTAAATTTAGACCAACAGAAACAGCACCTGCTACTCAACTTCTGTTCACTTTACTGTCACCTTCAGGCCTGGATATGACGACTTCCTATCACCAAGTTAGCTATTTGGGGGCAAGTGTTAAATTTCCCAAGTTCACTGTCTGATGAGAAGTGCAGATAAGGCATGAGTGCCCACAGAGCTTGAGTGAGGGCTGGGCTTATGCTGTGCATTTGGGAAAGAAACTACTCAAGCTGAACTTCCCCTACCCATCCCCATCCTCTAGGCAAACAGAAAGTTATCTGAAAATACCCAGGCGGTCTTGTTTGTAGGCTTTGACCCTCAAACCTAGAAATACCTGTTTTTCACCACAACTAGCCCACCTTCCTGCTCTGAGCACAGGGCAGACTATCTGCTTCCCAACTAAGTTCATGAGTATTTTCAGGTCTGTCAGACTAATGGATCCTGAGCACCTGATTATCTGATTTGTGTGTGTTACGGCAAAGTCTAAAGATAACAGAAAGAGAGCCAGATGGTGGCACAGCAGTAATATAAAACTGTAAGACTGGCCCACATGGAAGGTTCTGGGTTGCTTTCTGGAGACCTCCCTCAATATAGTGGGTACACATATATGCCCATGATAATGGGGCTGGCTGATGCTAGGGGTGGATCACAGCATGAAGACCCTGTTGGAGATACCTGTCTGTCTTATGGGAAAAAAATATATATATTTATATATAATTATATATTATATATATATTATTAAAAGACTTGGCTGAGAAGTTAAGCATTTCTTAAAACACTGTCTACCACCACCAATGAGGTTGACTCCTCAGCTAGTCACAACAACCACCAAAAAACACTCGGTGAGTTGGACCTAAGAGATTTCAGAACCTTTTCGTATATGCTAACGTTTTAAGTTTTTCACTTGTTTTGTGTTACTGGAAAGGTTAAGAGAAACTTTGCCTAGGTCAACAGGTGGCATGGTGGCTAAGGCATTGGATTTCTACATGGTTGACCACATTTCAAGTCCTTGACCTGGCTGTATGAAGGCCAGGCACGTGTGCATGTATGCTTAAAATCCTGAAAGAAGGGCCCAGCAGGTGGCATGGTGGTTAAGGTGTTGGAATTCCCACATGGCTGACCATGGTTCGAGTCCCGGACTTGGTGGCTTGCTTTCTCCCTCTCCCTCTCGCAAAACTCATGTGAAAAAAATAATAATTTAAAAAAAAAATCCTGAAAGAAGAAGGGATTGCAGCATGGCCATCGCCCAGGAGGTGATTTCTCACTTTCCCTCTCTCTGTTTCTTTACAGCAAGCACACATGCCCTATGACAAAAATATTTTCAAAAAAAGAAAAGAAACGGCCATTAGCAAGGTTCAAATACTAACGTCACTTTTTAACAGGGAGGTTTTAGGTGAGAGGTTGGTTCCCATCTGCAAAGTGAGGCGGTATCTTATATTTTACAACCCTGCTTTGAGGCTTGCTGGAGATAACTACAAGGTATCCCACATAGCACCTGGGCAAAACAAACAGCAAGTTGCCAGTTACCTTTGTAAGAAGTCAGCAACGTAGGTAAACCCTGTGGCTCACTGTGCTATCCTTAAAGCTGCTCCCGCCTGGGCTGAAGAGTGCAAGACCAAGGCACAGGGACACGTTCATGCTGCATGCAAGTGAATTAGGAACTGACTGAGATGATGTAAAGAAAAGCATTTTTTAAAATCTAGTTTTATTTCTAAAGTTGAAATTAGCTAGCGGGTAGCACTGAAAATACACCTTCACCATACAAAACAGTGTAAACTCATTACACATTAATCAAGAATTTAGCACACACACTTCTAATGAAAGAAGCTAAATGCAGCCCTTGCTATAAAAAGCTGTTCCTGAACAAAAATTAACATGTTTAAGTCTAAGGCCCTGGCAGTTGACTATAGAATGTCAGTTGTTCCCGATTATGTTTAAATGCAGAAAGAGCAACAACGTGGAAACTTACATTCATCAAATATTATCTTTTAAAATATACATGACTAGTAAAGTGAACATTCAGAGGGACCACTTCTAGTGCCTTCCATGTCAGCCACTTCATGGATAATTACTCATCCAAAGAGAGCAGAAGTTTCAACGTCTAAGGTAAATGTAGGATGAAGGGGAAAGAAGCAAACGATGAACATCCTCCAAACAGAGCAGCAGCCGATACCGACAGGTCGTAAACAGCCTGACTTCAACAGTGCTCACAAGACGTGCGATGAAGCCCAGCAGAACCTGGGCAATTCGTGTCCACAGGCAGACAGGCTCCTGGCATTGATCAGTGTCTCCAAACTTAGGATGAACCTTTCTGTCCCCAATTAGTAGTGAAAATAACTTTTAAAAATAGCTTCAGCCTTTCAACAGTAAGTTTCTAGTCCCTTCTGTGCATTGAAATGTTTGGGGTTAAGTTTTGGGGGTGAGCATCCCATGGGAGAGCCTCGGTTTCAGGACTTGAACACATGCACAGCTCGCACCACGTACTGCCGGCAGATGGGACACTCACTCATGCGTTTGCCACACTTCGTGCAGGTGACCATGTGCCCACACTCCAGCAGGACACAGTCGATGACGGCATCCATGCAGATGCGACACAGGCTGTCGTCCTCCTCCTCCTGCAGCTGAAGCCGCTCACCATCTGAAAGGCAATAAAGAGCTGGGGCTGCCGTGTGGCCACCTGCTCACCCACAGGCCCAACCTGGCAGGCCCAAAGCTCAGCAGCCATCTGCTAAGGGACCTCAGGAGGCCCCACCCTACCCTAAATTATGCAAGAAATAGTCCCAACTATCCTGCACTTTGTTTCTCTCCACAAGAAATGACAGTAATGCCTCTACCCCTCAAGGTTTTGTGACAAATGAGATACAATTGGCTTAAGGTCAGGCAAGACAGGCCCAACCAGTGCTAGCTACTTCTATTTTATATCTTTGGGTAGTTTGACATGTTTGTGATGATATATGAAAATCTGTAACTAGGGAAAAGAAAAACCCTACGTCATCTTGCACATGGGCTGTGGAGTCAGAACACTAGTAGAATGTCAGCACAGGTGTCCCAGTTGTATGGCCATGGGAAGTCAAAATCTCCAGAGTCTCTTCTCATAGAGGAGCTTTATTTCCATAGTCTAGAACTAATACGTTGGGTACCAAATGACTCCCTTCCCCTGCCACATAGCCTCAGAAGCAACCCTCTCCTAACTATTCCAGCCACCCTGGCACTAACAGTCTAACTTAGAAAGGATGGTGAGAAAATCCAAGTTCCAAAAAAGAAAGGTAATGAGTGAGTCTAAGAAGTCAACATCAGCTTAAGATTTGGCCACAGAGCTATGGGCTTTGAAAGAGTTATTTAATTTTATTCATTCATTCATTCATTCATTTTCATTTGACCAGAGAAAAACACAGAAGGAAAGTGAGAAAGCAAGCCACCAGGTCCAGGACTCGAACAGTGCGGTGGTGGGCCGTGTAGGAGTGTCCAGTGCCTACCCACCATGCCACCTGCTGTCCTGTTTATTCTTTTTTTTTTTTAAGATAATTTTTTTTTTTGCTATAAGACATGTGTGCTTACTGGAGACAGAGAAAGAGAGAGGCAGAGACAGAAAGCGAGAAATCACCCCCCAAGTGGGGTGGCCACGCTACAATCCCTTCTCTGTTCTCTTCTTGGGATTTTGAACACACATGCACACACACCCTGCGTGAGTTTTAAGCTGCCAGGTCCAGGACTCAGACCACAGTTGGCCATGTGGGAATCCAGCAACATAACCACTATGCCA